ACTCAGCCAGCTACTCACCCACTCACTCAGCCGCTCACACACTCACTTACCCAGCCGCTCACCCACCCACTCACCAACTCACTCACCAACTCACTCAGCTACTCAGCCAGCCGCTCACCCTCCCACTCACTAACTCACTCAGCTACTCACCCACTCACTCAGCCACTCACCAACTCACTCAGCTACTCACCCACTCACTCAGCCACTCACCAACTGACTCAGCTACTCACCCACTCACTCAGCCACTCACCAACTCACTCAGCTACTCACCCACTCACTCAGCTACTCACCAACTCACTCACCCACTCAACCAGCCGCTCACCCACTCACCCAGCCGCTCACTCACCCACTCACTCACCCACTCACTCAGCCAGCCACTCACCAACTCACTCAGCTACTCACCCACTCACTCAGCCACCCACTCACCAACTCACTCAGCTACTCACCCACTCACTTAGCCAGCCACTCACAAACTCACTCACCCACACAGCCATTCGCTCACCCACCCACTCACCAACTCACTCAGCTACTCACCCACTCACTCACTCACCAACTCACTCACCCACACAGCCAGCCGCACACCCACCCACTCACCAACTCACTCAGCTACTCACCCACTCACTCACCCACTCACCAACTCACTCAGCTACTCACCGACTCTCTCAGCTAATCACCCACTCACTCAGCTACTCACCCACTCACTCAGCCACTCACCAACTCACTCAGCTACTCACCCACTCACTCAGCTACTCACCAACTCACTCACCCACTCAGCCAGCCGCTCACCCACTCACCCAGCCGCTCACTCACCCACTCACTCAGCCAGCCACTCACCAACTCACTTAGCTACTCACCCACTCACTCAGCCACCCACTCACCAACTCACTCAGCTACTCACCCACTCACTTAGCCAGCCACTCACAAACTCACTCACCCACACAGCCATTCGCTCACCCACCCACTCACCAACTCACTCAGCTACTCACCCACTCACTCACTCACCAACTCACTCACCCACACAGCCAGCCGCTCACCCACCCACTCACCAACTCACTCAGCTACTCACCCACTCACTCGCCCACTCACCAACTCACTCAGCTACTCACCGACTCCCTCAGCTAATCACCCACTCAATCACCCACTCACCAACTCACTCAGCTACTCACCCACTCACTCAGCCACTCACCGACTCACTCAGCTACTCACCCACTCACCCAGTCACTCACGAACCCACTCACCCACTCAGCCAGCCGCTCACCTACTCACCCACCCGTTCACCCACCCACTCACCCACTCACCAACCCACTCACCAACTCACTCACCAACTCAGCCATTCGCTCACCCACCCACTCACCAACTCACTCAGCTACTCACCCACTCACTCACTCACCAACTCACTCACCCACACAGCCAGCCGCTCACCCACCCACTCACCAACTCACTCAGCTAATCACCCTCCCACTCACCAATTCACTCAGCTACTCACCGACTCCCTCAGCTACTCACCCACTCACTCACCCACTCACCAACTAACTCAGCTACTCACCCACTCACTCAGCCACTCACCGACTCACTCAGCTACTCACCCACTCACCCAGTCACTCACCAACCCACTCACCCACTTAGCCAGCCGCTCACCCACTCACCCAGCCGCTCACCCACCCACTCACCCACCCACTCACCCACTCACCAACCCACTCACCAACTCACTCACCAACTCAGCCATTCGCTCACCCACCCACTCACCAACTCACTCAGTCACTCACCAACTCACTCACCCACACAGCCAGCCGCTCACCCACCCACTCACCAACTTACTCAGCTACTCACCCACTCACTCACTCACCAACTCACTCACCCACACAGCCAGCCGCCCACCCACTCACCAACTCACTCAGCTACTCACCCTCCCACTCACCAACTCACTCAGCTACTCACCGACTCCCTCAGCTACTCACCCTCCCACTCACCAACTCACTCAGCTACTCACCAACTCACTCACCCACTCAGCCAGCCGCTCACCCACTCACCCAGCCGCTCACTCAGCTACTCACTCAGCCAGCCACTCACCAACTCACTCACCCACACAGCCATTCGCTCACCCACCCACTCACCAACTCACTCAGTCACTCACCAACTCACTCACCCACACAGCCATTCGCTCACCCACCCACCCACTCACCAACTCACTCAGCTACTCACCCTCCCACTCACCAACTAACTCAGCTACTCACCCACTCCCTCAGCTACTCACCCACTCACTCACCGACTCACCAACTCACTCAGCTAGTCACCCAATCACTCACCCACTCACCAACTCACCCAGCTACTCACCCACTCACTCACCCACTCACCAACTCACTCAGCCACTCACCCAGCCGCTCACCCACTCACCAACTAACTCAGCTACTCACCCACTTACTCACCCACTTAGCCAGCCGCTCACCCACTCACTCACTCACTCAGCCGCTCACCCACTCACTCCCCCACTCACTCACCCACTCACCAACTCACTCAGCTACTCACCCACTCACTCACCCACTCACCAACTGACTCAGCTACTCACCCACTCACTCACCCACTCACCAACCCACTCACCAACTCACTCAGCTACTCAGCCAGCCGCTCACCCACTCACCCAGCCGCTCATCCACCCACTCACCAACCCACTCACCAACCCACTCACCAACTCACTCACCCACTCACCCAACCACTCACCCACCCACCCACTCAATCACCCACTCACCCAACCACTCACCCACTCACCAACTAACTCACTCACTCACCCAAACACTCACCCACCCACTCAATCACCCACTCACCCAACCACTCACCCACTCACCAACTAACTCACTCACCCAAACGCTCACCCACCCACCCACTCAATCACCCACTCACCCAACCACTCACCAACCAACTAACTCACTCACTCACTCACCCAAACACTCACCCGCAAATATGACGTCACGCACCTAGGGGGGGTGGGGGGGGTCATTTGTGACGATGTGTGACGAGGGGGGGGGGGGTTGAGAAATGTGACGTCACGTCAAAATGTGCAACTTTAAATAAATACAGACAACACGTTCTACCTAGTTAAATAGACTTTGTAATAAATGTTTTCTCCTACAACATCAGAGTGCAGCGCCACATTAAATTCTCACTACAACAACAATAGTTTAAAGCGATTTGAAGCATGTTTTATTTTCAAAATGGAAATATGGTTTTGGGGGAGGGGGGGAGAGCTTTGTGACGTCATATTTGAGGGGGGGTTGTCAAAAATCGTCCAAAATCTTGTGACGTCATTTATGGACGGCCCCTAAGTGGCTGATTACTGATCGATGACATGATTGCATTCACCCCCACCTCCGCTTCTGATCTCGAATCCCAATGGGGTTCAACAACAACGATGACGTCACCCTGACGTCATCCAGCCGGAAGCAGCTGGATGACGTCACTATTCTGGCAAATCGTCGTTACTACTCGGATTGTAAATGTTGTGGATGAACTCTCCAACACACCACCGGTGGTGGGCTAAAGTAGTGAACTATTTTGTCTTTTCTCAACGTGACGCATCCTTTTTTATTGATTGGCCGTGTCGGGTGGTCGAGGGTTACGACACATTTATAAATAACGCGATCTGACCCAATAACCTTTATTGTGAATATAATACTGGTCGCAAAAGCCTAAGTGTTCAAAGTTCAATTATTAGGTATAGCCATGTGAGCCATTCGGCTCTTGAATCGGGTGCAACCGCAACAAACAAAAAACAAAAACATGAACAAGAAAACATCTTAAAGTGACTATGTGACTGAGTGCAAACAGAAAATACAAGAAAAGACAGCAAAATATTGCAGAACAATCACCGCACACCAACGCTGTGTGCAAAAATCCCAGTGGGATGCAAGTCAAACAACAACAACCACAAGACAACTTAGATTAAGGCCATCAGTCTAACTCTGTACTACAACAAACAAACATGGCTAAACCAAAAAACTTTTCGAAAATCACCAAAATAAAGCCATAAAAGCAATGAAACAGTGATCATAGGAACTGTGACCGAATTTTCACAATTAACGACATAAACAACATGTACTACCAAACTCTGCAGCCATTAAACTATATGGACACATTATTGGTTCTTTAGATGATTGCTTGTGTTGCAATCGAAACGTCGTGAGAATTTTATTGTTTTATTTTTATTATTTTATTATTTCCCTTCTAAGTGACTTTTCCGAAAGAACCAGTTGTCCTCTGAATCATTCAGATATTCATTGGCAAACTTCAGACGGGCATGTATATGTGCTTTCTTGAGCAGGGGGACCTTGCGGGCGCTGCAGGATTTCAGTCCTTCAAGGCGTAGTGTGTTACTAACTGTTTTCTTGGTGACTATGGTCCCAGCTGCCTTGAGATCATTGACAAGATCCACCCGTGTAGTTCTGGGCTGATTCCTCATCGTTCTCATGATCATTGCAACTCCACGAGGTGAGATCTTGCATGGAGCCCCAGGCCGAGGGAGATTGACAGTTCATTTGTGTTTCTTCCATTTGCGAAAAATCGCACCAACTGTTGTCACCTTCTCACCAAGCTGCTTGGCGATGGTCTTGTAGCCCATTCCAGCCTTGTGTAGGTCTACAATCTTGTCCCTGACATCCTTGGAGAGCTCTTTGGTCTCGGCCATGGCGGAGAGTTTGGAATCTGATTGATTGATTGCTTCTGTGAACAGGTGTCTTTTATATAGGTGTTGAGCAGTGGAGTGCTGACGTCAGGTGACACTCGCCTCGGGGGGAATGCAGTCAGGGAAAAGTGACGTCATGCCCCCCGGGGTATTTGAGAGAAGACCCGTGACGTAGACGGGGCCGGGAGGAAGAGGCTCTCGCGGCAGCGGCGACCTACGATCGCCGCGGGGTCGGCGGATCTGCTCGCCGGACAGGGGGCCGGGGCGAGCGGCTCCTTTCCGTTCGCAAGTCCGGGGGCGGGTCACTTGCTTCCGTTGTGGCCAGCTGGGCAACTTCGAGAGGGGGTGCAACAACGCCCCCGGGGCCTACACCAAGGCTTCTCCTCCCGCAGACGTCCCTCCAGCGGCGGGACCTCCCGGGCACCAGGCAAGTCGCGACACATCCATCGCACGGCCGATGGCATCTCGCGGGGTTAGGGTCCATCTTCACGGGCCCGTCTCTGGGGGGTCCGACTCGGGGGTCACGGGAAATGGCAACTGCTGCAGCCATCGGTGAAGTATTTGGGCCACATTGTGAGTGCGTCAGGTGTGGCCACGGATCCGCAAAAGACTGCTTGTGTCCGGACGTGGCCGACTCCTACATCTGTCGCTGAGGTGCGTAGCTTTGTGGGCTTCGCATCGTACTATCGCCGGTTCGTCTGGGATTTTGCAACCATTGCGAAGCCGCTGCACGCACTCTCTGCCAAAGGACAGAAATTTCGCTGGGGGGAAGAGGAGGAGGCCGCTTTTGCGGCGCTTCGTACGGCCTTGGCGGACGCGCCGCCTCTGGGGTACCCAGATTTCTCCCGGCCATTCCTCCTCGACACCGACGCCAGCGACACGGCCATCAGGGCTGTCCTGGCTCAGCTTGTCGACGGGGTGGAACGGGTGGTGGCCTATGGTAGCCGCGTTTTGTCCTCCACTGAGCAGCGGTACTGTGTGACCAGGAGAGAGTTGCTGGCCATTGTCTTCTTCGTCCAATTGTACAGGCCATATCTGTACGGTCGCCGGTTTACCGTCCAAAACCGACCAAGCAGCCCTGCAATATTCCCTCCGAATTGACAAGCCCTCGGGTCAGCTGTCCCGCTGGCTCGAGGCGCTCCAGGAGTACCCCTTCGATGTCATCCATAGGAAGAGGACTCTGCATGGGAATGCGGATGGCCTTTCCAGGCGGCCCCCGGAGGGCGAGTGCGCCTGCACCCTGGGTTCCAGCCGCTGTAAGGCCCCAGCGAATACCGCGGTCCAGTTGTTCGCATCGGCCGAAGCGGCGCCCGTGCCGGGTGTGGCGTTGCCTGTGAATTTTGGCCTGGGGCTCCCCCGGGAGGTATGGTCCCAGTGCAGATGGAGGATTCCTCTCTGCTGAGGCTGCGACACCGTGTTGGGACTAAGGCCCGGAGCTCGGCTCCGTCGGCTGCCCCGGAGATCGCCATTCATGACGGCCTCCTCATGCGTTGGGATGCTCAGTTGGAACGGTATTGCGTGGCGGTGCCCATTGGCTTGCGAGGTAAGTTGCCCCGGGCCATTCACGAGAAACTTATGCACCTATTCTTTGGTTCTTTCGGTAAAGTGACGTATAAAGATAAAATAATAAATTAAATTAAATACTAGCATATGATGTTTCGATTGCAACACAAGCAGTCGTCATCAGGTATAAATTAAATAGGAACACAAATCTAGTAGACTTAGAAATGTAATGTAATACAACAGAGAGTCGGATAACATAACAGTCAACACCCTACCTGGTTGATTACGTTCTTCCTGAGAATGCTAAATTTGAGAGAGAGATTAAACACAGAACCAGAAACATAGACAGACATATAAGCAGACAAATATCATAGAGATATATAGAGAGAAAGAACCAAATAATTATTCCTGCAGTCACGAAAGCTCCAAATTAAGTTTAAACTTATGCACCTCGGCTACCACAAGACCCTTTTGACCCTTAAGCGGGACTACTATTGGCCGGGCGTGGAGGAAGATGTGGCGCTTATTTTGAAGGGTTGCCACGATTGTGCACGGAGGAAGGCACCAGTTGGTCAGGATCGGGCCCCGCTGCAGTCCATCCGGGTTTCTCGTGTGAATGAGCTTGTGGCGCTCGATATCTTAGGGCCCTTCCCGGCATCCTAACGGGGACACAAATACCTCTTGGTGGGGGTGGAATACCTCACACGTTGGCCCATGGCGTGGCCCCTGGTGGACCAATCGGCCTCGTCCATCACGGAGGCATTTGTAGGAGGGTATATTCTCGGTAAGGAGGCGCCAGAACGACTCTTAACTGATCAAGGGCGGAATTTTTCTTCACGATTACTCAAGGAGGTCTGTGATCTCCTTGGGACGAAGAAGGTCCGCACCTCGCCCTACCACCCCCAGTCCGACGGGATGGTAGAACGTTTGAACCGCACACACACGTCCATGTTGTGCCATCACCTGTTCATCCCGGGGGTACTGGCTGCGTACAGGATGGCCCCACATGCCTCGACGGGCTTCTCCCCCTTTTACCTGATGTATGGGAGAGAACCCGAGCCCCCCCCCCCCCCCCCGGGGCAGGCAAGAGGGGTTCCTCCATTCCCCTTCCGATGAAGGTTGCGCTTGATCGCCTGTGCGAAGCACGTCAAGCGCCCTTGGAGAACTCGGCCGTGGAGCGCTTGCCTAAACATCAGGCGAGGGGTCGGCCATGGGAGGCGGGGCAGTTGGCGTGGCTGCACTGCCCTCAGGTGCCAGTGGGCACCTCCCCTAAATTGCATCGGCCGTGGCAGGGCCTCGTCGAGGTGGTTGGTGTCCGCCGGCCTCGGTGTGTCCGGATCCGGCTGTGGCCGGCGCCACCGGACCGTGCACCCGTCGCGGCTCAAGCGGCTCGTCCCACCCGCCTTCCGTGATTCATCCACAATTCCGGGACGGCCGGCGGTGGACGCGTCCGACGGGCCGGGTCCTGGGGGTCGGGGGGACGTCACCGTTGCCTTGCCCTCCTGTGCGCCCCCAGAGCCACCGCCGTTGATGCCGCCGGCGGCGGACCCGCCGGGGGAGGTCGTGGTGGAGGCCCGGTCTCCGTCCGGACCACCGCCGGTTACCGGGATGGACGCCGCAGGGAGCGGTGGGCCGTCGTTGGAGGCGCCTGTCGCGCCGCCGCCGAAGGAATCGCCTACGGCGCCTGGCCCTGGCCGCGGACCATCTGGCCCGCCACCTCCATGGGCCGACGCCGCGCACGGGGACACGCTCGCGGGGCAGGCGCATACGCTGACGGACGGCACAACCGTCCTCGGTCATCCCGCTGGTCGCCACTCGCCGTGCCGGGTGGCGGCTACGCCCCGCCTTGTGTTGCACCGGCTGGTGGGGTGTAGGGAGCTCACAGTACCCTTCCCCTGGGGAGATTAGTTAAGAACCCTTGTGTCAACCCCTTCGCCCGAGTTAGGCGTAAGCCCTGAATAAACAGTTTGGCGTCAGCCCCGACACGACCGGCTTCAGCGTCCTTTCTACCACAAGCTGAGATTAGGAGCACTCCCTTTAAGAGTGTGCTCCTAATCTCAGCTCGTTACCTGTACAAAAGACACCTGGGAGCCAGAAATCTTTTGATTGAGAGGGGGTCAAATACTTATTTCCCTCATTAAAATGCAATTAGATTTATAACCTTTTTGACACGCGTTTTTCTGGCTGATTTTGTTGTTGTTATTCAGTCTTTCACTGTTCAAATAAACTTACCGTTAAAATTATAGACTGATCATTTCTTCGTCAGTGGGCAAACGTACAAAATCAGCAGGGGATCAAATACCTTTTTTCCCTCACTGTATACACGAGAGGCTCTTAGCAGAACTCAGGGCAACTTTTTTGACTCTCTGCCTTGTCAGAGGTTTGCCACCGCAGAACCGCAGCCGATGCGTGAATCACTTCGGCTCACCTGAACGGAACTTCCCTCTCGACCAGTTTGTACCAAAAAAAATAAACAAAATCTATTTGCGCCGTGGCATCTGGGAAGTGCAACTTCAGGGTGGTACTGGATTGTCACCTGCGCTGCGTCACAGCTGTGGAATTAGTCCGATGTGATTTCTGAATGTCGCCTGCGCTGTGTGACAACTTTGATATTATAATATGATAATTGTTTTTTTACCCTTCTATCTGGCAACAAAACTGACACCTTTTATACGAGGAGTCATGTTTGCATAGACCACAATACCTGCAGTCATAATGCAAACAAAAAACACAACTCTGATAATATATGCACTGTCCTTGAAGTTGATTGGTCCACACCCGAGACAGCTTTCCTTAGAGCCTAGTCTCACATGGTGTTGGACCAGGCGACGCCAAAAGGCAGTTTTGTTGCCAGATAGAAAGGTAAAAAAACAATTATCATATTTTTTACTGGCAAATGAGGTTCCAATGGTGTAAAAAACTTTGATATTAGTCCGATGTGATCTCGGAATGTTATCTGCGAGGTATAATTATACGAGGGCACTGACAAGGAGATGTGATGATGGTGTTGATTTTGGACGCCCACGGTGTTTCGCACTTGTGAATATCGATGAGTGTTTGTGAGTGTCTGTGTAAATCTATGAGTCTCTGTGTATGTCTATGGGTCCCTGTGTGTCTATGAGTATCTGTGTATCTCCATGAGTCTCTGTTTGTCTCTACCAGTGTCTGTGTATCTCTGTGTATCTCTATGTGTCTCTGTGAGTCTCTATGAGTCTCTGTGTATCTCTATGAGTCTCTGTGTATCTCTATGAGTCTCTGTATGTCTCTATGAGTCTCTGTGTATCTCTATGAGTCTATGTGTATCTCTATGGGTCCCTGTGTGTCTCTACCAGTGTCTGTGTATCTCTGTGTATCTCTATGTGTCTCTGTGAGTCTCTATGAGTCTCTGTGTATCTCTATGAGTCTCTGTGTATCTCTATGAGTCTCTGTGTGTCTCTATGAGTCTCTGTGTATCTCTATGAGTCTCCGTGTATCTCCATGAGTCTCTGTGTGTCTCTACCAGTGTCTGTGTATCTCTGTGTATCTCTATGAGTCTCTGTGTATCTCTATGAGTCTCTGTGTATATCTGAGTCTCTGTGTGTCTTTATGAGTCTCTGTGTATCTCTATGAGTCTCTGTGTATGTCTATGAGTCTCTGTGTGACTCTATGAGTCAATGTGTGCCTCTACGAGTCTCTGTGTGTCTGTATGAGTCTCTGTGTGTATCTGAGTCTCTGTGTGTCTCTATGAGTCTCTGTGTATCTCTATGAGTCTCTGTGTATCTATATGAGTTTCTGTGTGTCTCTATGGGTCTCTGTGTATCTCTATGTGTCTCTGTGTATCTCTGAGTCTGTGCATCTCTATGAGTGGCTGTGTGTCTCTATGAGTCTCTGTGAGTCTCTGTGTGTCACTATGAGTATCTGTGTCTCTATGAGTGGCTGTGTCTCTCTATGAGTCTCTGTGTGTCTCTATGAGTGTCTGTGTGTCTCTATGAGTCTCTGTGAGTCTCTGTGGGTCTCTGTGAGTATCTGTGTGTCTCTATGAGTCTCTGTGTGTCTCTTTGAGTCTCTGTGAGTCTCTGTGGGTCTCTGTGAGTATCTGTGTGTCTCTATGAGTATCTGTGTGCCTCTATGAGTCTCTGTGAGTCTCTGTGTATCTTTATGAGTATCTGTGTGTCTCTATGAGTCTCTGTGTATCTCTGAGTCTCTGTGTATGTCTATGGGTCCCTGTGTGTCTATGAGTCTCTGTGTGTCTCTAGTAGAGATACACAAACACTCATAGAGGTTTTGTTATCAGCCGGAAGCCACCCACGTCTCTTGACAATGAATCCGAAACCCTCCGAGGCTGTCACCAGCCCACCTGCACCTTCCACGCGTTCCGCCTCGTTCCCGTTTCACGCTGCGGCGTTTCACAACCGAGTGGAGACGATCCCTTTCATCTGCCGCGGTGGTGGCGGTAGTGGCGGTGGCGGTGGTGGTGGCGGCGGCGGTGGTGGTGGTGGTAGTGGCGGTGGTGGTGGCGGCGGCGGTGGTGGTGGTGGTAGTGGCGGTGGTGGTGGTGGCGGTGGTGGTAGTGGCGGCGGTGGCGGCGGTGGTGGGGGTGGTGGTGGCGGTGGTGGTGGTGGCGGCGGCGGCGGTGGTGGGGGTGGTAGTGGCGGTGGTGATGGTGGCGGCGGTAGTGGTGGTGGTGGTGGCGGTGGTAGTGGCGGTGGTGATGGTGGTGGCGGTGGTGGTGGCGGTGGTGGTGGGGGTGGTGGCGGTGGTGGTGGTGGCGGTGGTGGTGGCGGTGGTGGCAGCGGTGGTGGTGGCAGCGGCGGTGGTGGCGTTGTTGGTGGTGGTGGCGGCTGAACTGCCGTGACCTCCTCACCACCTCGCCCAACACTCACCTGGTCACCTGACACTTGCCCCAGCAGTCTGCTGGAGGCTACACGGGGGATCTTTGTCTTTGATTTGACGCAGATGCGGGCTGCCCGGTAGCCAATGATGGTGTCACGTGGGGCCCGGGTGGACCCAGCTGGGCCCCACGTGACCTCGCCGTGACCCCGCCGTGACCTCGTCGCCAAGTCACGTGACGTCTGCCCCCAACAGTCTGCAGGGGTTCATTACCCATGGTGCCTTTCGGTAAAGGTCACGTGGACGAAAAGGAAACGGACAATGGGACAATGAAAACGAAGTGAATGAAAACACATCACGACGCGAGGATCGGACAGCAAAACACACCCCCCCGCCCCACAAAGACAAACCCACGGAACGTCGGACAAAGGCACGAAACGTCGATCTTTGTTTGACCTTCCCACGCGGCAAAGCGCCACCACCCCCACCACCCCCACCGCCCCCTCTACTCCTCGTCGCTCACGGAATTGAAATTCTTCTCTTCCCGTTTTATTTCTTTGTCGTGATGGTCGTTGTCATCGTCATTGTAGTCGTCATCGTGGTGTGTGAGTGAGTGTGGTGGTGTGTGTGAGTGAGTGAGTGTGTGTGAGAGTGTGGTGGTGTGTGTGAGTGAGTGAGTGTGTGAGTGAGCGTGGTGGTGTGTGTGTGTGAGTGAGTGTGTGTGAGAGTGTGGTGGTGTGTGTGAGTGAGTGAGTGTGTGAGTGAGTGTGGTGGTGTGTGTGTGTGAGTGAGTGTGTGAGTGAGTGTGGTGGTGTGTGTGAGTGAGTGTGTGTGAGAGTGTGGTGGTGTGTGTG